CTTACCATGTCCAATATATGTTGAAAATGACCAACGAATTATCATGGAACTATCGCATTCACTCAATCTCATTCACTCATTTCGATCGAGACACCCGACCCACCGCAAGTTCACGTGCTACCGAAAAAAACAAATGGAGCACATCTCGAAATCGAGCATAGTTCTAATCCTGATCTCTAAAGAGATACAAGGGGCCCTCCAAATAGCTGAGATATTCCCTCGTAGCCCCCACCCCGGTTTGGACCATGCGATGTGCCTTGCCATCTTTACCTTCAGGAAGAAACCGGACCAGGGAAGGGGATTTTGTAAACTCAATACATCCTTGTTGAGCATTGACAAATTCATAACATACCTGAAGGAGGTCTGGTCTTTCTGGCAAAAGGGACCGGATCCAAGATGACATACTGTGGTTCAACAACGGTTTGTTCTTTTTAGGCCGTAAGTGCAATGAATACTCAAAGCTTCGTGCGGCGCAGCGCCACGCAGAGGAAATTGACCTACAAAACCGTCTACAGTACCCTTCAAAACAAGAAGACGAGATAATGAATGACACTCACTCACTGGCGGAGCTAGCAAATGAAATACAGACACTGGAAACACAAATCCTCGGTCACATGGAACATAGATAGCAAGGCATCAGGATCCGAGAAAAACTACACAGACATAAGATGGAAGGGTCAATGGATGTGAGATTCTTCGCACTGGCAAAAACAAAAGTGGGACGAACAACCATAGAAGCATTAGAGCATCCGAACTTACAACAAGGGCCGTTGTACACCTCAATGGCAAAATGTACAAAAATAGCAAGGGACTTCTACCAGAACCTTTTCACATTGGAATGTGGAAACATATCTCACACACAGAGGTTGGTAGAGATCGACGAGTTTATGCGCCCCCTCTCTCGCACTCTCACGGAGCAACAGAAAGAGCAGTTGAAGATGTCATTAATAAAAGAGGAGGTGAGGATAACCTTGGTGCTCATGAAAAAAGAAAAAAAAACAGGCATCGACGGCCTGCCAAAGGAGTTTTGGGAATCAATGTGGGAGAGTATCTCACAGGATCTAATGGACTACTACCATGCATTGTGGGAAACAGGCCAAATGGGAGAATTGGTAGGACAAGGAGTATTGATACTCATATATAAAAAAGGAGAAACGACCAATATTCGAAATTATAGACCCATTACCCTCTTAATGGTGGTCTATAAGATGGTGGCAAAGGCGCTGGTCAATCGCATGGCCACGGTAATGGCTGACATCATCCATCCAGATCAGACTGGTTTCATTGAAGGTAGGAATATCCAGGATAATGTCCTCCTCGTGAATGAGGTGATCAAGCTCGCAAGACAGTCCAAACAAAACGCGACAATCATTTTTATTGATTTTGAAAAAGTATACGACCATGTGGACTGGACCTTCGTGGACAAATGCCTGCAAAAGCTCAATTTCGAACCACATCTCAGGCGTTGGGTGGAAATCTTGCATAAAAACACTACAACCAGAGTCATGGTCAATGGAAACCTTGCGCCACCCATCTCCCTTCAGAGATCCGTTAGGGAGGGCGACCCGATAGCACCATACTTGTTTGTGATAGTAATGGAAGCCCTTGCGGCAAACTTGCGGACTCATAAGGACATCAAGAGAATACCAATTACCTCGATACCTAAGGAGGCGATCCCGGTATGCTCGTTGTTTGCTGATGATCTGACCCTGATGGTGGACGCGTCCCATGCATCGATGGAAGAAGTCCAACAAATGATGGAAAAGTTTTGTGCCCTTTCGGATATGAGGGTCAACTGGGGAAACAAAACCTTGGGATGGTGGATGCACCACCAAGGTGTCAGGCCCCCGGAGAAACTCAAGGTCAAATGGCTCCTCAACGAAGCCCCCATCCGGGTATTGGGAGTCTCACTATCGGCGAATGGCAGACCATCAGTGAATAACGAATGGATATCTAAAGCACCCTTGGAAAAGTTGACACAGTGGAAGGACAGGCATACCTCGTTAATGGGCCGCACTTTGGTGATCAACAATGTGGTACTTGCCTCCCTGTGGTATAGGTCGGCCATCTGGGCGCTTGATAAAACAGCTCTCCATCCCGTACAACGCCAGATAGCTGCATTTCTATGGAGGGGCAACCATGAGAAACATAGAGTGATCAGCAGGGTGGCATGGCAGTCTATAATTCAACCCAAAACCAAAGGGGGACTGGGCATACTTGACCCGACAATACAAACCAAAGCACTAGCCCTGCAATGGTTTAACCGCCTGCTGTTTCGCCAAGATACTCCATGGACAGGGCTAGCCCTAGATAAATTTATAGGCTAGCCCCTGAAACGAAGGCAGAGACCCACCCACTGACATGGCTGGAAAATAGGGGCTGGCCGATACCGAGAGGGTACCCCCACCACCAAAACCCGGGACTAAATTCGCCAAGGAAACAAACAAGGAATGATCTGCGAAACGAGCACTTCTGACCATCCCTGCTGAAAACATGGAGATCCCTCCCGCTGCTTGACAAAAGCCAACCCGAGAGATGGGATGATCCGATGAGGTACTCCGCCAACCACTCTTTGACAATAGGAGAATTGTTAACACCAGGGGTTAGGTTCTCCATTGTACGGACTCCCCCTGGTGTGTGTGGGTGAAGAGAGGCGTAAGGAGAGTAAGTGATATATGGGACCTGACCAAGAGAGACTGGATAGACAAGGACCTGCTCAGACAAAAGCTGCAATACAGCCATCGATCGGAATTGACTCTTGAGGAGGTAGTTGAAAGGATCCCATTGAGCTGGTGGAAAATCCTTAGGAAAGGGCCCACTTTACAAGGAACAGATTGGGTGCAGATCCATGGTAGCAAAGGGGAACTAGGGAGTGTAGTATGCTGCAACCCAGACGGTCAAGTGACTGTGGACATATACACAATAGGACGGGACAACACCCTCCAAAGACCCACCCCAGAAGAGACACGCTGCTACCAGGAGGAAGAACTGACACAAACTAGAGTGCTTGAGGATGGGGATAGATGGCTGGCCTTCTCCCCCGGCACCCCGATCGCGCAGTTACCTCTAGACCCGATGGAGTGGTCATGGACATGGTTGGGGGGGGAAAGGAAGTCAGGCACCCAAACGCTACACAGCATGTCAGTCAAATCAATGTACAGAATGGTTCGACCCAAAACCAATCTCCGAGACCAGGTAGAGGTCAGATGGATGAAGCACTTAAATATCAGCAAAGCATCACTTCGGGAAGTCAAATGGTTCCACCTAGCCAAAGGGAAACCTGCGAAACTAGCTTCCCTCCAATGGCAAATGGATCACCGCTGCCTACCGACTAATGATTGGCTGATAGACCGGACGTCCCTGGAACAGAGCGGATGGCCTCTACCTTGGTGCAAGCTGTGTTTTCTTAATTCATTCCCAGCTAGGAAAAGACCAGAAACAATAGAACACATTTTTCTGCAATGCCCAGGGGCAGTTTGGCTCTGGTGCTGGTGGGACAGGATCTGGAACCAGCTAGAAACAACAATGCCGTGGCCATGGGACTGGAGAGCACTACTATTAGAAACATGGTCTGCGGAACAAGCAGACCCCTTCACCCAAAACCTTTTTGAACTTGGACGCAGGGCAGTGATATAGGCACTTTGGAACCGCCGCTGCACATACGAGATGGAGGGAGTGAGATTGGAAGGGCCGAAATCCACAGAAACTTTACAACAGCAAATCCAAATAGGGATAACAATGCACTGGGAAGAAGCTAAAACACAGATCAGTCACCTACAAACACAACGGGAAATAAATCAGAAAATTCAGGACTTCAATGCAAACTGGGTTGGGGGGAAATAGGGGGGAACGATGGGGAGGGTGGAACGGGTAGTAAGAAATGGGGATCAGGGGAATGATCATGAGGGGAAAGGGCAAAGCAAGGACTATCGGCTGATCTTTCATGAGTGGACCAAGGTGGATGCCACAATCCCAATGAGAACGACAAATGACTTCCCAGACCCCTTCCCCCCTCCCTTCAACAGTATGGTAGAACTGGGGTGGTATGGGGAACAGGGGGGAGAAAAGGAAAAAAGGCGGGGTTCCCTGGACTTCAGTCTGCTTCGGGGCAAGGGGAAGCCTACTCCAACAACTGCTCAATGGCTGGCAGGCCGGCATAGCGCAGCCCGCCTTGTTTTGGTGTAAAAGGATGCTTTTTGCTGTATAGCAAGCAGTGGCCCTAGGAGGTAAAAGGGGCAGGTGAGGGAAGGGACGAACTAGGTTTTTGCAGCAGGTATCTGGCGCCTGGTTCAGGGTGAAGAGGTTCTCTTCCTTCTTCCAACTTCCCGCTCAGTCAATCCCCTAGCTTCCAGGGCAATCAATGCTGGCCGGAATCTTCCACTCCTCACTTTTCTGATGTACTCCAAATTCATTTGCTATATGGGACACTGGACCCGTTTTCCAGTAGGTGATGCTCCCTACCAATAGATGGAGCCTCTCCCAAGGTGCTAGTGGTGTCTGCCCTTACCAGCACCACTATCACTGGAGGGGGTGTCTTTTGTGTTTCTAAAAAAAAAAAAAAAAAAAAAAAAAAGATCCAACTCCCTGCGGAGCAAGATCAAAGATGCAGCCTTTTCCCAACATCGGGAATCGCAGGGCGTTAGGCAGCATGACCAAGAATCTGGAGACAAACCGATGCAGTTTGGGGACCGGAAGCTGACGCTGACACCGCCCGGACAAACCCAAGAGGGTCCAGTGGAACTGCAACCGCATCCTGGCAACCAACAATTGCCCCCCTCGACAAGCCATTCATCAAGACTGATCACAAGACAACCGTTATCTCGGAAGTCATGGGGAAAGTTAAGTTCCTACCCCCCCAGCGGCCTCAAGACCCGGTGCGTGCACAACTGAGGAAAGTTGAACACGAGGAGGACACTGAAGCTACCGCTTTGACCACAGTACAGTCAGGGGAGTTAATGCCACAACCACAGACACAACCACTGGCAGGCCAGAAACAACTACTCTTGCTCACTTCAGTCTAGCAACACCAGCAGGTGCATCACAGACAGCAGCAGCATCTACCGCACAATCGCTGGTAGGACAACACCGAGACGACCACACACAGCAAGCCCGAGTGGCACAACTCCAAATGCAGCAACAACTTGCTCGAGAGATGCAGGCAAGACAACAACATCAGCAAGCCTACGATGCACAACTGCAAATGCAACGACACCCCGACGATGCACAACTACAAATGCAACACCACGGCGCACAACTGCAAATGCAACAGTAACCGTAGATGCTGGCCCAGTGGCAGCAGGAGCAAGACCGAAAGGCACAACCGCTGCTAGAACAACACCCGGATGAGCAGACACAGCAAGCCCATGTGGCACAACTGCAAATGCAGCAACAATTGGCCCAACAGGTGCAGCCACGGTAGCAACATCAGCAACCCTACAACGCATGAATGCTGATGGAGCAACAACATCACATGCTCTCTCAGCATCAACAACAGCAAGAACAAGGGCCTGAGCAACAGCATCAGCCAGACGCCCAACAGCAGCAGCAACGCTTGATACAACAACAACAACATGAGCTCCATCAACGACAACAGCATGAGGCGCAATTGCAAATGATGCAACAACAACAGCACTCGCATTCGCAGCCACAGCCTCAACAATACCTACAGCTGCCCAAACCGGCACAATAGCAGCAGCTACAACACCAGTTGTGGCTCCACCAGCAATGTCAGCAGGAGCAAGCTCAAGTGGAGCAACAACAGGTGCAACAACACCAACAAGCGGTGTCGCACCTGCCGCTAAACTGCAGGGAGGGCCCTTGCCAACTGCAGCAGCAAGCACAACAACATAGGGAGTGTGAGGATCAGCTCTGCCCCCTCCTATAAGCGGAGTTGGCACAGTACCATCATCAGCAACACCAGTAGAGGGTGCTGCAACAACAACAAATCCTACAACACCTCCACTTGCAGTGGCAACAACCACTGTGCTTCCAACAACAGCTCATCTTGCAACAACAACAACAACAGTTGCAGATGTTCTGGCACCAAGAGCGTGAGAGGCAGCAACAACAGCACAAACTTACACTGAACGGCTAAAAGCATGCTGTGGTCTTGCTCTTGGCAACTGAGGAGGATGCTCAGGCGTCGCAAGACATGGATACTACGGCCCCAAATGAGCCTTTGCTGGTGAGGCAAGACCAGGACCCTGGCCCCGTGGCAACCGACATTGAAATGTCCCAGGCCCCGGTCCCGCCCCTGCAGGACAACTCATCCCCCCCCTCCCCCCCACCCCCCTCCACTGACGGCCAATGACGATGTTAAACAAAAACTTGTCTTTTTGACCGAATGGACCCTCATTAAAATCTTTTCCATGGCAGCGAAAAGATCATAGGACAGGCTCAATTCCAAATACTGGTTGCAGTCTAAAGAAGTGCTGATGTTCAGTCCACGGGTGCTGGCCGCTGTGGAAAAATACAGGGACATATCGTCGATTGACTGGATGGACGTGGGGCCAACGATTGTCCTGGTGGTTAATGAGTTCTTGGACAAAATTGAGCAGTACACGAACATTAAATTTGACCCAAAACAGCCCAAACAAAGCCCGGATCACTTGGCCCCCCGCAACGAAGATTTCCTCCATGAGGGGATGGCATGGCCTAAGCTCTTGGTCCAGGAGCTCTGCACCACCCTACACGGCCCGCCCGCTACTGTTGCGCCCATCCAATCCCAAGAAAACCAAAGCCAGCTCCTCACATGGGAGGGGAAGCTACGACAACCTGAAGAACAGATGACATACACAGCACTCACAGACACCAGCATGGTGTCTGCATACCAGAGTCGTCGTCCTTGCAAAATTGAAATACTGCATGACGATGATGACGATTCAACAGTGCGTCTGGATGATAACGTGTCGGATACCACC